ACGTAGATGTATAATTAAATGTAGATTTTTTTTCTATAAAAAAAATAAATAAATCAAATTTATATTACATACACAATACTTTTTTTTTAAAAAAATATATTTGTTTAAAAAAAGCTAAAATAAAATTAATATTTTATTTTAATATAATGTTATTTATTTTCATAAATATGTGTTTATATATTTTAATTTATTAATTGATTAAAAAATTAAAAATTGCCAATAAAATATTAAATTACATTTTTTTTAAAAAAAAATAATATTTACTTAATATGATTATTTGACATTTAAGTTTAGTGATAAATAAAGTAGTGAAACATATTATTAATGTTAAATAAATTAATAGTAATCATTATATAAATCATTTTGATTACTGTATAACTTATATACAGTACATTACAGTACTATTATATAAATATTTATTTTTTTTAAACTATTGACTAAAATATTAGTTATTTTTAATGATGTTTCAATGTACAATATTAATTAAAAAATAATTATAATTAATCAATAAAACTGTGAGAATTATTTAATTAATTGTTAAAATTTTTAATATTTATATATATATACAAAAAATTATTATTATTATTAGTCAAACATTAGTTTGTATTAGTATTACACTATAGGATAGTATTAGTGATAAACATGTTATTAGTGTTTGTTTATTGATTGCATACAAACTATAAGCTGTAAAACACATATCACTGGACATTGATTTCAATAGCAATATTAGTGTTAGATTTGATTTATCAATTAAATTTACATTATTATTGTTAACATTATTATGATTATGATAATTAATATTATTAGCTAGCTGAAATTTGTTTTCAACATTATCGATAAGTGTTTGATACGATTGGGGTATAATATTACACGCGTATACCAAATAGATAAACTGTACTAGACCATCTATTATACTAGCTAGGGTGATTAGTCGATTTTTACTATTACCAAAATATAATCTAGTTAAATCAGTTATTAGTTTTAATGTCAAAATTATTATGACTAAAAAATTCAATAATGATAATAATTTATCCAATTGTTTTACATAGATTTTTATTGTTATACAATATTGATAGATATATTGTTGGGAAAATTTATCTAAATTTTTACACAAATATCCCAATTGTTGGGCAATTATTAATGATTTATAAGCTATAAGTGTTGTAAATATTAGCGACATATTAATTGGTAACAAATATATGGCTAATGTTAGCAAAAAATCAATGGAAACCATAAATTGATTTAAACAATAGATACCTAACATATAAATAGTTTCGATAGTTATGGTCAACAATATGGTTAAAATTGTTAACCAAATGCCTGTACGTGTTTCCCATCTATTGTTAACGTATTGACGGGTCGTCACGCGATCGACGACTAGTAAGTGGTCGACAATTGGCCGACCATTGACTACAATTAAACCGTACGTCAAATAGGTTTGTATAGCATAGCCAAGTGTAGCACAAATATGTAACAGTTTTAATAGTTGTGATGATCTGATGGATGAACCCATTGATGATCCATAATAGCTATTATGATAGAAAATTGTAAAAATATGTTTATAATAACAATAGCTTATAATTAGCATAACTATAAAATTGGCAAAAAATTTTATAATTATTTTTAATTTGTTATTATTATTATTGTTTGTTAAATGATATCCAAAATAAAAGTTGCCAGTATATTTAATATAATTTATTAATAGTTTTAGACCATTGTTTTTATAAGACATTGTTTTTATTTTATTTTAAAAATAATGTATAATAATGTTATACTGATATACTGTATACTGTAATATTATATATGGTTTTAATTAAATTTAATAATAATAATCTAAATAAAAGTATATACTGTATATAAAAATGTAATAAATTTTTTGTAATCAATAAAAATAAATATTATTTTTACCATTTTATTAAATATAGTATTTTATGTTATTAATATTTTTTAAATAAATAATACTAATAATAAAAATAAATGTTTTTATTATATAAATATTTATTTACACAAATATATTGATTTTAATTATATTTTATTTATATATTTGATATATTTAACTGATATATAATATTTAAGTCATTATTATTTCATATATTTTTTTGTATATAATTATTTAAACATATATTTAATACATTTAATAATAAAAAAATATAATGAATTAATAAATATTAAATATATTGGTATTATAGTAATACAGTATTAATTTATATAATGTGTTTGTATCTAAAAAAAACCAAATATATTTTTGCATCACCACACATACACACCACACATACACACCACACATACACACCACACATACACACCACACATACACACCACACATACACACCACACATACACACCACACATACACACCACACATACACACCACACATACACACCACACATACACACCACACATACACACCACACATACACACCACACATACACACCACACATACACACCACACATACACACCACACATACACACCACACATACACACCACACATACACACCACACATACACACCACACATACACACCACACATACACACCACACATACACACCACACATACACACCACACATACACACCACACATACACACCACACATACACACCACACATACACACCACACATACACACCACACATACACACCACACATACACACCACACATACACACCACACATACACACCACACATACACACCACACATACACACCACACATACACACCACACATACACACCACACATACACACCACACATACACACCACACATACACACCACACATACACACCACACATACACACCACACATACACACCACACATACACACCACACATACACACCACACATACACACCACACATACACACCACACATACACACTCTCTCACTCTAAAAAAAACTAAAAAAAGTAACAAAAGAACATTATTTAAAGTTTTAAAAAAAAATATTTAAATTTTTTATTTTTAATTAATTATAACAAAAAAAATCTATATATATATATATATATATATATATATATATATATATTTGTTGATAAAATCAAAATTTTTATTAAAGCTGTTATTATTATTATTATTATTAATTGCTTTTTAATTAATTTAACCAAAATGTTCCTGCATCCATTCTGGATTAGGTTTAGGTCCAGGTTTAGCTTGAACAATAGTTGATACTATAATTTTTTTAATAATTATTAAAATTTAGTAATTTTTTCTTTTTTTTTTAAATAAAAATTCAAAAAATCCAAAACACAAACAAAAAATTTTTAAAAAAAACTTACGAAAACCAATCATAACAACGCTTAACATCGAAACCATAAAAACTACAACAAATCGATTCATTGTTATCACTGAAAACTCAAAAAAAAACAAAAAAAATTTCACTTTTGAAAATATAAAATTAAATTTATTTAACAATACAATCACTAACGGCTTATATATATATATATACACTAATATAATTGTATGTGAAAAAAAAATTAATATAATTTATATACCGATCTATAATTGACGTCAATTCTATGGATAATATTTGTTAATTTCAATTAAAAATTACAAAATATTTTTGAGACTAAATTTAAGTAAATTTTAAATTATATATAAATATAAATTTGTCCGCAATTTATTATTAAATACAGTATAATTATAATTACATTTTTTTTAGTTTAAAATTATTTTTTATTTGTATTGATTTCCTGTCTTATGTAATCTTAATAATCTGTTTTATTGACGCAAAATATTCAATTCAATATTCAATTGCATAATAAATATGTTTTGCAATTCAAAAAAAAAAATTTTTTTAATTAATCTTAAATTTTGTTTAAATTAAATTATATTTTATATTTTAAAACTACTGTACATTAACTTTTAAATAAATAATTATTATTTGTTTCTATTGACCCACACTTTAAATCATTGAATTGATTTTTGAAACAAAAAAAAACTATAATAATTAACAAAAAAATATATAATTATTTCACTAATAAGTAAATAAATCAAATAAAAAGTAATAATTATTTAGTAGTTAAAAAAATATATAATTAAATAATAGATTTTATTATTTAAAAATTATGTATTCATTTTAATTAAATCTAATAAACATATGGTGTTATAAAGTAATAATGATATATATATATATATATATATATATATATATATATATATATATATATATAATGTTATATACAAATTAAAGTTTTACTATCATATTATAAAAGTTTCCTAATTTTATCTAAAATTCCCGATTAATATATTTCTGTATATTTATTATTTCAAATTAATATAATAGTCTATATTTTATTTAATTGTTTGAATACAAAAATAGAAAAATTTTACTTAAATTTTAATTATATATATATATATATAATATTTCTAAATGTTTTAGTGCTAATTATTACATTGTTGACAATAAAGATATTGATAATATTTATATATAAAGACATATAATCAAATTTTTAATAATAATTTTTAAAATTTTAAATAGAAAATTATAAAATATTTTCACTAATATAATTAATATAACTAAAACTTTGAAAACTGAAAATTGAATTAAATAATTAGTATTTAGTCTGTATTTATATATAAATAACATTATAAAATCAAAAATATATAAGTACCTATAGACTATAAACATTAAGTATTATTTAAAAAAAATTAATTATTTTAAAAGTTAAAAATGTTTAAAAATACTAAAAATTAATTAATATTGTATCTTGTAATGCTTTTAACAACTATTTTTAAATCTTATTAAATTAGTATTTTATTTTTTGTTAAAATTTAATTTTTAGAAATTTTATATAATATTTCCTGGGAATTTATAAAAACTTTACATGGGATTAATATCAATTTTTAATAGAATTTTCAATTGAAATGAATTTATTTTAGGAAACTTCCCTTCAATTTGAAAGTTGTCCCAACTCTCTCTCTCTTTCTCTCTCTCTCTCTCTCTATTTATTTTTAATCAATAATTTTAAATACTAATAATTTATAAAAAAAATAATAATAATATTTTATTTAGCATTATTGAAAAATGGCTGATTATATTAAACAGCAATTAATATTTTGCTTAATTTTATTGTTGTTGTTTGTAATTATTAATCCAAATAATTATCATGCTAAACAATTGCCCCTAACAAATAGAGAGGAAGCTAGACTATTGAGACTAATTGAAAGTATTGATAATTTTTTTTTAGTATTTTTAATTTTATTTTTTTCAATTAACTATTCTCCATTATATTTCTAATTAGTTAATTAGTTAATAATTAGATATTTTAATTATTTAAAAAAAACATTATTTCTATAGAAATTTTTAATTTGAAAAATTATGATGATGATGAAATAGACATAAGTTATCCAGATAGTAACCGTGGTCATCTAACTAATTATAATTCAGGTATTATTTATTAATTATATACTATATTATAATTATTGATAAATTATTTTAGATTATAACTTTTTATAGTATAGAAAATAATATATATTTATATATATTGTTTCATATATATATATATTAATATATAACTAACTATATCTATAAATATAAACTAAACTCATAAATAAACATTTTTTATTTGTCGCCCATTACCGTAAAAAATTATTTTTTAATTTTAATAGTAAATTTTTATTAATTCAATTATTATTTGATTATTAACTTTTTTTTAATAGAAACTGAAATGGACATAAGTTATCCAGATAGTAACCGTGGTCATCTAACTAATTATAATTCAGGTATTATTATTAATTATATACCCTATATTATAATTATTGATTAATTATTTTTAAGTTATAACTTTTATAAGTTTTAACTAAATGGGAAAAATTGTCGCTTAAATTAGTATTTAGTCAGTATTTATATAAAAATAACAATAAAAAATAAAAATATAAACTATAAAGATTAAGTATTATTTAAAAAATTTATAATTTTAAAAGTTAAAAATTACTAAAATATTAAAAAACTCATAGTTTATCATTAATGCTTTTATCAACTATTTTTAAGTATTAAATAAATAATTATTATTTTTGTTAATAAACCTAACTATATCCATAAATATAAACTAAACTCATAAACAAACATTTAAACATTTTTATTTGTCGCCCATTTCAAAAAAAAGTTTTTTAATTTTAATAGTAAATTATTATTAACTAATTATTATTTGATTATTTTTTTAATAGAAACTTCTTCTAAAGATAATAACAAAAAAATGTATCCAGATAGTAGATATGGAGATCTAGCTGTTTCTAATCCAGGTAATCAAATAATTTAATATAAACATACATACACATACACATACACATACACATACACATACACATACACATACACATACACATACACATACACATACACATACACATACACATACACATACACATACACATACACATACACATACACATACACATACACATACACATACACATACACATACACATACACATACACATACACATACACATACACATACACATACACATACACATACACATACACATACACATACACATACACATACACATACACATACACATACACATACACATACACATACACATACACATACACATACACATACACATACACATACACATACACATACACATACACATACACATACACATACACATACACATACACATACACATACACATACACATACACATACACATACACATACACATACACATACACATACACATACACATACACATACACATACACATACACATACACATACACATACACATACACATACACATACACATACACATACACATACACATACACATACACATACACATACACATACACATACACATACACATACACATACACATACACATACACATACACATACACATACACATACACATACACATACACATACACATACACATACACATACACATACACATACACATACACATACACATACACATACACATACACATACACATACACATACACATACACATACACATACACATACACATACACATACACATACACATACACATACACATACACATACACATACACATACACATACACATACACATACACATACACATACACATACACATACACATACACATACACATACACATACACATACACATACACATACACATACACATACACATACACATTATTAATACTATTTTATTTTCACTGTAAGACTGTACGTCACCATTGGATGAGGGAATTGGTAGTAATCAAACTGATCGTTGGTTTTGTGGTAATAGTTTCTGTCGACGGTTTGTATACAATGGTTTTGGCGGCAATGCTAACAACTTTGCCTCAGAATGGCATTGTAGATATAATTGCCAGAATGTTTGTCCTCTATCACCAAGATAGAAGTTAAAATAACTTACAAATGCTATATAATGTTTTTTTAATCTTTTAATTCTTTTAATTTTTTAAAATTTTTATTATAAAACAGACTTAAAAAATTATATTCTTATATATCTTAATCTATTAATAAAATAAATAGAAAATATAAACATAATTTTTTGTACTTTTTTTTATTAAAACAAATTAAATACATTAATAGTTAATAATTATTGAATAAATTATATTATTTTAACTTATATTTAATTATATTAGATTTATTTATTTAATACATCAAGTATAAAATATCTATATTAATTAACAAATAATTTAAATTAAATAATGAAATAAAAAATTAATAAATTAATGGCCAGAAATCTTTAATTGAACAGATACCATATATATGGTATATCTCATTAAAAATAAAGAAAATTAGTGTGCCGGGACTATATTGGACAGTACAACCGTATTAACAGCGGCTCATTGTATGAATATGTATGTATTTTTATATTTAATAATAATAATAATATATTCAATATTATTTATTTTATAGTGGTATGAATTCTATTAAATATGTATGGTTAGATTTTGGTTAAGATAGTGGGAAAGAGATAGACATTGCAAAATGGCATATACATGAATCATATGTCCCGAAAACAAATGAGTCTGATTTAGCAGTCATGACACTTAAGGAGGATATACAGCTAAATGTGGTAAATGCATGGCCAATCGAACTGTGTGTATGTGTGTGTATGTGTGTGTATGTGTGTGTATGTGTGTGTATGTGTGTGTATGTGTGTGTATGTGTATGTGTGTGTATGTGTGTGTATGTGTGTGTATGTGTGTGTATGTGTGTGTATGTGTGTGTATGTGTGTGTATGTGTGTGTATGTGTGTGTATGTGTATGTGTGTGTATGTGTGTGTATGTGTGTGTATGTGTGTGTATGTGTGTGTATGTGTGTGTATGTGTGTGTATGTGTGTGTATGTGTGTGTATGTGTGTGTATGTGTGTGTATGTGTGTGTATGTGTGTGTATGTGTGTGTATGTGTATGTGTACATTGCCAGTAACTATAATAAATTTTAGTTTACATATATTAACAAATTTTATTATTTATTTATACACAGTTAAAATATTAAAACAAAATTAATGTAAAACAAAAACTAATATATTTTACAATAAATATATATATATATTTATATTATATTAATTACAATTACATTTTAGTTAGTATGATGTTTACATTATTAAAAATTTATTTAAATAATTTTTATATATACATATATATATAGATAACTTCTATAATTGGTAAAACCATTTTTTTAAAAAATATATAAATGTACAGGTACAAATAATATATTATACACTATACACTTGTAGATACAGTGTAATAAATAATTTTATTTAGCAAATATCAAATTATAATACAATATAAAAGTATATTTTAAACTTAGAAATTTGTACCTGTGTATATTTATTTAATTATTTATTACAATATAATAAATTATATTAATATATAGTATTTTATCGTATAATAAACATAAATAAAAAATACATATACATTATAAATATACAGTATATACTCTATCTTTATATACATATACAGTATATGTAACAAATAAAATGTATATCAATATACAGTATACAATATACACAACAATTAAATTATTTATTTAATAATATTAATAAACTAAATATAATATTTACAAAAATAAGACACATTTATTAAAAAAAAATTAAAAAATAATTTTTTTGCTTAACAATTGCTAATAGTATTGACACCAATATCTGGTGGATTCATATCGCGTAGGCGTTCCCGGCGCTGATATTTGCGTATATCGCCGGCGAAAGTAACGGCCAGACAGCCGGCTATAAAGTCGATGACCGTTAGAAACCAGTTTGAACTCAACTGGGATACTATGGATGAAACAATACTGACGCCCACGACTATGAATACTAGTCCAGCGTATATCTGGACTATCCATAGGTGTTCCTGATAGGCACCGAACATACCCAACAATTGGCATACTATGGTAAATACAGCCACACATATGACTATATTACGGGCCATACCCTATAAAAAAATTACAACAAGTAGTAGTATTAGTGGTAGTAGTGGTAGTAGTGGTAGTAGTAGTAGTAGTAGTAGTAGTAGTGGTAGTAGTGGTAGTAGTGGTAGTAGTAGTAGTAGTGGTAGTAGTGGTAGTAGTAGTAGTAGTGGTAGTAGTAGTGGTAGTAGTAGTAGTAGTAGTAGTAGTAGTAGTAGTAGTGGTAGTAGTGGTAGTAGTGGTAGTAGTAGTAGTAGTAGTAGTAGTAGTAGTAGTAGTAGTAGTAGTAGTAGTAGTAGGAATAATAATAATAATAATAATAATAATAATAATAATAATAAAAAAAGGGAGGCACAGTGGTGTAGTGGTTAGTGTGTAGGGCTATGTAATGTAATGGAGAGTAAGATCGTGAGTTCGAGCCCCGATGTGGAAAGCAATTTTTCTGTTAAATAAAAATTGTTTTCACTGTGTTTCCCATCCCTGCCCAACCAACGCTGCTTAGGACGGCCAACTTAGGTAGTATGGGGAAAGCGGGGTGCTACGTGAGGACGAGTTTCTGCCCGACCCCGGGTACCGGTACTTCGGTATCGGTGCCCACCTGGGAGTACCCGCAAGGGTGCTCCCACCCGGGGGTGCCTGTAAAAAGGTGCCCCCACCCCGAAGGGGCGTCCGCAAGGATGTCCCTTCACCCTTCGAGTAGTTACTCGTCCCCACACGCAATGGCCACTTTTGTTTCAAAAAATAAAATCCTATTTCAACAAACACATGTTAGTGGTGAGAAATGGGTGGCAATAGACACATGTTAGTGTTGAGCTTATTCTAGGGACTGGGACCCCGTAAAAAGGCCAAAACAAATATATATATAATTATGATTACACGTAGTCGAAGGAATAACGGGGGGTGTTCGGGAGGTACCCTCTCAAATAAATCCCGCGTTCAGCAGGTAGGCATTGACTGCAGTTCGATAAGTATGCATCATATCCCACGCAGTGATGTGCTATGCGGGCAAAGCTGTGATGTAATGCGACCGCAGACCAGTCAACAAAATCAGACTAACCTCCAAGATGTTTCAGTTCAAGCTGGTTCTCAGCGACAACTGACCAATTTGGTTGAAAAATCGCAAAAGCGCATGAAATGGACACATGAGATGAATACCTTGATAATGCGCGAATACTACAGATCAACTCGACTCGAAACAAATATGACTGATTACAGAAACCAAATATACTTAGCATTTAAACAGAAATATCCAGAACTAAATGTAACGGAACAAAGAATTGCAGATCAACGGCGATTCTTAGCAAAGAATAATAAAATATCACCAATAGAATTACAAGAAATCAAACAACAAGTGGCACGTGAACTATCCTTAAATGAAACAACTGAATTAAATACCACAGTAGAAGTAGTGCCAGAAATAGAAGAGATACCTACAACAACAGATAACAGAATCAATACAAATGATGAAATAAACAGAATAACAGCAGAAAATGAACTAAAAACATCTTTAGAACAATATAAAGACTTTGAAATAGAATTCAGACCTAAGCTACCAAAAATAAGAAGTGGTGTAAAAGCAAGGTCTACAATAATAGCAATTAATGATATACTTAAAAATTACATCGAAGACAATATGTCGTTGAGCGCGATTAATACAATAACATATTGTGCAGCAGTAGCAGTATCGAGACTATTAGGCTACAAAATAGAACGCATGTCAACAACAAATCAAAATCATGAAAATATGATACCTAAATGGCAAAAGCGAATAGAGACACGTATAGAAGGAAAAAGACAAGTAATTGGAAGAATAACGCAAGTGTTAAATGGAAACAAATCAAAAAGACTTAACCAATCATTGAAAGATATATACCAATTATTACAGACAAAACCTGGAAAACCTGAATTTGAATCAATAATCCGAAATTACAACGACACATTAAAACAAACAGTTCAAGCACTATCACAAAGAATCAGAAGATATAAACAACAAAGCGAAAGACGAAAGCAAAATACATTGTTCTATAATAACGAAAAAATGTTCTATAGAAATCAAAATAAAATAAATTCAAGCAATATTAACAATACACCTCAAATAGATGAAATAGAAAATTACTGGAAAGAAATCTGGAGTAACCCAAAGGAATATAAAGAATCTAATTGGATAAATGATATTGAAGATGAAAATAAAGAAATACCACATATGAATTCAGTAAATATAATAAAAGATGACTTAACCGAAGCCCTCAAGAAATCCCACAATTGGAAAAGCCCAGGACAAGACAAAATACAAAACTTCTGGTATAAACACTTTACAACAGTACATGAACCAATGGCAATAGCAATGAATAAAATAATACAAACAGGACAAACCGATGACTTCCTCACTTCCGGAATAACATATCTACTCCCAAAAACAGAAAATACATCAGATCCCAGCAAATATAGACCCATCACTTGCCTAACAACAATGTATAAAATCCTAACATCCATAATATCAACAAAAATATATAATCATTTAAGCAACAACAACATAATAGCTGAAGAACAAAAAGGCTGTATAAAATACTCAATGGGCTGTAAAGAGCAATTAACAATAGACAATATCATAACAATAAGAGCTCGTCAAAAACATAGAAATCTTGAAATGGCATACATAGACTATAAGAAAGCATTCGATTCAGTCCCACATAAATGGTTATTAAGAGTGTTAAAAATATATAAAATTGACAACACATTGATAAACACATTAGAAAATATGATGAAAAAATGGAAAACTAAATTGTGTGTCAATACTAATAATGAAACAAAAATAAGTACAGAAATCAAAATAAATAGAGGAATATTTCAAGGAGATTCACTCAGTCCTCTGTGGTTCTGCTTAGCCATAAACCCACTGTCATCACTACTTAAAAAGCTAAAAGGCGTAAATCTAAAATCAAGTGATACAAAATATAATCTAACACATCTACTATATATGGACGACTTAAAACTATACGCCGAAAAAGAATCTGATTTAAATGCAATGCTAAAAACAACAGAAACTTTCTCCAATGATATAA